GTTCAATCAATCAATTCCAACTTCGCAACATCTTTTTTTCCCGCGAGAAGTTGAAATTGACTGATTGAACTTTTTTTTTTTTTTTTTGCACATGGTGGCGGAGGCCTAAAGCGAAAAGGTTTTATAAAACCCAGCTGAAGGCCTAGGACTGGGGCGACGGCCCGCGTGCCCACAGAGAGGTCTCTGAGTGCCGCCTCTGGCACCCGTGCCATAGGTTCGCCACCACTGAGCTATAGTCTACCACAGGAAGTCATAGTTTATTTGATGCTGGAGCTGCACTATGTCTGCTAGAGCTGCAGGCTTGTGACCAATCATGTCAGAACAGGCAGACCAAAAAGTTTGGACTCTCAGCAGCCATTTTGAATGGAAGTCAAACCCCTAAGCTATAGTTCATCACATCCTCCTCCGTCACTTATTTCTCCAATCTTGGATGCAACAGCTAGTCTCCCTTGCACCTCTACCATGATCTTTGCACTGCTATTTCTTGTTTATCAGTGTACCAAATATTGTAACTTGGGAAAGGAATAGTCTCATGTTCTCACTTGTAATCCTAGTGTTTGAAATTAATTAAAATGAAAGGTACAGCTTTGTACAGACCCCATGAAACACCATACCTTCTCCTCATAGATCTTTTTAACACGAGCCACTGCTTGAGCCAGCTGCTCCTTCTCTCCAGTGAAGACGATCTCAGTTCTGTTGACGCTCGGTGGTGGGATATTTATGCGCGTTCCAGTCTCCTGCATGATTTCACTCACCAGCTTGTTGAAAGGACCAGCAATAAAAGGATGGTATACTTTCTCCAACTCAAGCCTCTCTACTGCACGCTTATCCTGGGAAATAAAATCACATTTTTATGCATATATACAACACATACTACAGTATTGCAAGAAAAGAATGTGAGGCTTCTGCATGTGCTTCCTACTTCTGTAGATCCTCATTCTGAAACTTTATTTCACTTTATCACAAAGTATCTGTTCTAGGAATGACTGGGGGGGGAGTTACATGAGCAACCTTGCTAACTTGTTAGAAGTGCTAGGGAGAAATGATCTTTAAGGCAAAAGGAATTGAGAACAAAGAAGAAATAGAATAAAACTGAGGTGACAATGATGGAATAAAGTAATATGATTTCATATAATTTAACATGTAATCAAGTTTAACAATCCATATAAACACCAAGTACTTTGTGATTATGTACCAACGTAGATTGAGAACAGGTATAATATTACGGTGCTGGCCTAGAAACCAGAAGTCTGTGAGTTCTTTTCCCACCATAGGCATGAAAGCCAGCTAGCTGACTGTGGGCCAGTCACTCTCTCTCAGCCCAGCCCACCTCACAGGGTTGTTGTGGGGAATATAGGAGGAGGAAGGAATATTTATGTATGTTCACCGCCTTCAGTCAACTATAAGGTAATAAGAACCAGATAAAAATGTAATAAAATAATTAGTCCTCGACTTACAACTGGTCACTTAGCAATGGTTTCAAGTTACAATGGACCTCCCTGGGGGTACTTACGACCTGATTCCAAAATTCCAACAGCTGACCTATCCCCGTGGTCACACGATCACATGCAGGGTGCTCGGCATCCGACCCATATTTATGGCTGCTTGCTGCATCCCACCATCACATGACTGTGATTTGCAATAGTTTTTCTGAAAACCAGAATTTCCTTCTGGCTTTTGGCTAAACCCAATGAAGACTGCTTTATGACCAAAATTTTCCTAAATCAGGTCGGCCGCAGTATGTGAACAACCGGTTCTCTGTGTGGATGCTACTTCCGGGAGTCCATTCTGGGCCTGGGAAACAAAAAATTAGCTACCGGTTCTGCCGAAGTGGTGCGAACCAGCTGAATCCCACCACTGGTCGGCCGTATGGATGAGCCATTTTATGATTGTGATGGGCAGGCTCCATTATGGCCTTAAGTCACTTCATTAACAACATCGCTTGACACATCATGGAATTTGCATAGATTGAAATTATGAATGCGATCATCATCATGAAAACTTTGTAAATGCATGCATAAAAAAATAACTACCTCTCATTAAAAAAAATCTAAGGAGGCAAGGGAGAAATGTAACTACTATAAGAAATTGCAGCAGTCATCAATATATGAAGAGGGCAAATGGCCAGATTTTCAGAACGACTTTTTATATTCTTTTGCCTTCTAACAGAAATATTAGATGACAGCTTATTATATACTTTGTATGTAAATCATCTAGATATTTAATCCCAAATAGGCATATCAGAAATAATTCTGATGAATTTTAACAAAATTTGATTTTAGACAGATGATTATAAATTGTCACAAACATTAAAACAGCAATCTTCTTATAACACACGCTATCTTTCTAAAACAGTGAAATTTGGGAAGTACTTTTTAAGCAATTTATGCTCAACATAAGTCTGAATGAACTCCAGCTTGGCCTAAGGAATGTTCCCTTTTAAAAAGGATTATTTGATCTAGTGTTTTCAGAATCACTTCAGCAATTTTAAACCAAAAATATAGTTTACCTGCTCAGCAGAAATCAAAAGAATCTCATGTCGAGCTTTCTCAATCCCTTCCTTGGTGCCAGTGATCTTGATCTGGTTGCTGGGGTCATCCGGGCGGGGGATCTGAATTTTTGTGGCAGTTTTAAGCTCAAGATCCTGTAACTTCTCTCCATTTTTTCCAATGACAAAGCGATGATGTTCTTTGGGAATGCCAACTGTTGCTGAAGCCTATAAAAAAGTGCATGTACTAGAGTGAAACCACACTTTTAATTTAGCAATACAGATGCATTTCACCAACAAATTCAGCATAGAATTTTGCTTTTAACTGTGGTAAGAGAGGAGGGAATCTTTCTTTCAATATTATAGAGTAGCAATGGAAAATAGTATTTGTGAAATTTTACTATAAACAAACATAAGGGATATAGGGTTTGCTCATATGCTGCCCAGAAACAAACTGACACTTCAAGTAACTGGGAGGGATACTGCATGTTGCATTATTTCCCCCCACTTTAGAATAAATCAAAATCCTGCCCTGTCCTCTCATGTATATATCTAGTTACTGACTTACTCAATTGCATTCATAACCCTATTTCTAGCACAACATTAATCCCTGCTTGCCTTCCTGCTGCCTATCTGTCTCTATCTATCGTTTGTCTGTCTATAGATCTACTCAGTGATAAATTCCAACATAACTTTTATTGCTTAGTATATGAACAAGACAAATGAAAGTCAGACCTGTGGAGGAATATCACTTATTTGGTTACTTTATTAGCTAACTAATGGTTTCCAGGTAAAATCAAAGTGCTGATTACTATCTATTACCTATAATGCCTTTTATGGTTTAAGTCACCGTTACTATTGAGACTCTTTTCTATAAGCTGAATTTGCCCATCCAATGCAGGTAGTCCTTGACTTGCAACAGTTTGTTTAATGACTTTAACAAAAAAGATAGGATTCCATTCTTTTTTCTACCAGAGTATCAATTTTCAGAAGGGGAAAAGTTGGCACCCCTCAAAAGATCAGCTTTTACTATGAAAACTTAAACTATATCAAATATCTTTTTAAAGTCAGCTAAGCTTGAATAACTATCACTAAATTCATGCTTTCAAAACCCACCACTTGCTTTGGTGGCTCCTGGTAAGGTACATAGTTAGAAATAAAAGCTGTGGAATGGAAGATATATTTGAACTTTATTTTATGGGAAACCTGGCATTCTTTAAGCCTTTCTTATGGGCTCTTAAGATGCAGTACATATAATACCAATAGAAGAGAATATTTGTAGCTCAAGGTTGAACTATGGAACTCTTGATGCTCTCTGAGCTTGGTTGTTTTCTTGCAGTCATTTCATACCATGCCTGCAAATGTCTGCAAGAAAACTAAGCTCAGAAAACACCAAGAACTCTGCAGCAATGGTTTCCAACTTTTTGACCACCAGGAATCAGCTTCATGGAAAACAATTTTTGCATGGGTCGGTGTGTGTTTTTCGCATGCTACCTAAATCCCACGCATGCACAGACGAAACTTTGCTCACAGTTCCAACAGGCCCCAGACCAGTAGCAGTCCATGGCCAGGGGGTTGTGGACCCCTGATCTACAATACATGAGTTGGTTCACAACATATTGGCTCAGTGGGCACTACATCTTTAAATCTCCATTGCAGAATAACATCATAGGGAGAAATCAAATCACTCACCTGCGTCTGAAGCCGAGCTACAATTTCCTTCCGAGCCTTCATCACTGCTTCCAGTTTGCCAGAAACCATTATTGATAATCCTTGATCTTTTGCAAGAGATAGCTCCAGGTGAGCTCCTGTCTTCTGCATGATGTCTAAGCAGATTTTGGCTTGCTCTCCTTCCCCAAACTGGTTCATATCCTTGTACTTCCTCTCTTCTAATGGCACATGGAATACCTGCTCATGTGAAACAAATGTTTCTTCAATTTGAAATTTCTAAAAGGACACGCTCCCTCTCTCAAATCTGCAGCCAGTTCTGCAACAAATATTTTTGGTACAATCTTAAACCTAACTTGCCTGGGAGCAAATTCTGTTGAATTCATTTAAATTTACAGGACCAAATTAGTGGGAACAAAATGTTGCATAAATATGGGAACCTACTATCCCATCTCCCCCCCCCCCAAGAAAATACATTTAACTTTTCAGTTTAAGTTATTTTCTGTATATTTTAATACATTAGCATAGGAGTAACGTTGTAGCATCTAATTTGAGAGGCCATGTCTTTCACTAAAAGGGACCAATACACAGAAGATGCCTCACTCTATAACTACAGAATTCTACAGAACTGCCCAACACCTGTCTGTTGATATATTTCAGGGAAAGGCCTTAGGAGTACTCAAACAGTTCTTCTGCTTACATTTTCCCTCCCACAATGAGATAAACATCCTGAAGGTCATTTTTCTAAATGCCTGAACAGGGTTTCACACTGAAGGGGAGAAAACGTTCTTTGTACTGACCTGAGTGATAACAGAAGCCTTGATTGGTCGGATTTTACTCCNCCTTCCAGAGTGATTTTATCTTCCCCTTCAGTGAATTCTATATGAACCTTTAAAAATAGATGCAGTTCACTATCAGAATAAAAGCGAACAAATTAACCTGTGCTTTTTGTTTCTCCTAATCTGTAATCATAAACATCTAAAATCCTCTGTTGTCATTTTTAAAGATGGCAACTCAAATAGCCTCTCAGACAAAACAGTACGTAAACACCAACTGGAAAATGAAATTTAAACAACTACCAAAGTTAAGACCCCATCTATATACCCATGCTTTCAAAGAAGAAATGAACAGAACTTTCCCAGTGCTGACACCCTCTCTGTGGAACTCTGTCCCTAATTGCAATGTAAGTATTGGCTAAAAAGTTCATATTTTTCAATGAATATAGTTTGTTTTAACTGCCACTTTATTAACTTCAATTTGGTCTTGATGAAGTACTTTGATTTTTAAAATGCCTAGCTGTTTTTGAAAATCTATCGTTATTAAAACTGAAAGATGCAACAAAAGGAACCTATTTTCTCATTTTCAGTCTTGCTGTCAATTTTTATTCACCCTACTGCTCACAACAGACAACTTAAAGGTATCCCAAAAAACATTTTCCAAAACTTTGCAGTTCGACTCATTCTTCTCTATTCTTTGGGGGTGAACATTTTGTCAAATATTTTCTCAATAAATTTGGTATCAGCTGTACGAAATATATGTATGTACACCTCTTGAGCTACTCTTTCCAGCAATTTCTCAAATTCAATGTTAACGTAAGAATCCACATTTATGAGCTCATACCTTTGGGATTTGTTGTGTGATTTTGGCCAAGTTTTGCCCCTTCTTGCCAATGATGAAACGATGAAGCCAAGAGGGGGCTGAGACAGATGAGACTGTGAAACTGTTCGCCTATAAAAGACATTGGTTATATGAAGAAATTTATCATTCCATAAGCAGTACATATTGATATCGACAACTGATTCTGATACTGACAATTGCAATTTCTTTTCCAATCCAATACTCTTGACAGCAGTGTTCTAAAATTTATTCAAAACGTGATACTGCAACCTTCATGTCACAATAATAAAATCATCACACAACTGGCTAGTTTAGGCTTTAGAGTTTACTGACTACGGTCTAGAGCAGGGGTTCTCAACCTTGGCAACTTTAAGACTTGTGGACTTCAACTCCCAGAATTCTGGGAGTTGAAGTCCACAAGTCTTAAAGTTGCCAAGGTTGAGAACCCCTGGTCTAGAGAAAACATTTCCTGACATTTTGCTGGCCATTGTGGGTGGCATCTTCAGAGGCAATGTAGTCTGCTACACAGATCACAGGCAACTAATCACACAATTGATTTTGACTATTATTATTTTGTATTACTGCTGAGCACATTACTTGAATTCTGAACACTTATAAGTTAGAAATTTATTTTCTTATAAAAATCTAATTAGTCAAATCAGTTGTCCATAAAAGAAAGGCCTTGCTGAGTGGCCCTCTTGATACCTTGGCATAAACTTCAGTCAATGCCTGTCCAAGCTTTTCAGGTTCGCCACGCAGTATCACAGTCTCCGAGCTGCTATCAGTGGGGGGGATTTCAACCGAGACTCCAGTTTTCTCCAAGATCTCCTGCAGGGAGTTCCCTTTAGGGCCAATGACATACTTGTGCTGGGACTTCTTCACCTCCACAGCAATGGTGGTAGTCTTCTTCTTCTGTAGGGAAGTATCAGCCAGGAAATGACAAGTTACTTGAAAAGGCATTGAACTAAGGGAGCTACAGATCAAAGAACAGAGAAACTAATTTTGCCCAAATAGGATCAAAATAGGGCAGGTATCCTAACAAGCCTTTGATTTATATATGCTTTACAAATGAAAAGCTATAGCAGTGATGGCAAACCTTTTAGAGATCGAGTGCCCAAACTGCAACCCAAAACCCACTTATGCATCGTCGAGTGCCGGGTGGGCGTGGCCCATTGGGTGGGCGTGGCCGCCGTGATAACGGCAGACTAGGTGGGACTAAAAAGTTCAATCAATCAATTCCAACTTTGCAAGATCTTTTTTTCCCGCGAGAAGTTGAAATTGACTGATTGAACTTTTTTTTTTTTTTTTTGCACATGGTGGCGGAGGCCTAAAGCGAAAAGGTTTTATAAAACCCAGCTGAAGGCCTAGGACTGGGGCGACGGCCCGCGTGCCCACAGAGAGGGCTCTGAGTGCCGCCTCTGGCACCCGTGCCATAGGTTCGCCACCACTGAGCTATAGTCTACCACAGGAAGTCATAGTTTATTTGATGCTGGAGCTGCACTATGTCTGCTAGAGCTGCAGGCTTGTGACCAATCATGTCAGAACAGGCAGACCAAAAAGTTTGGGCTCTCAGCAGCCATTTTGAATGGAAGTCAAACCCCTAAGCTATAGTTCATCACATCCTCCTCCGTCACTTATTTCTCCAATCTTGGATGCAACAGCTAGTCTCCCTTGCACCTCTACCATGATCTTTGCACTGCTATTTCTTGTTTATCAGTGTACCAAATATTGTAACTTGGGAAAGGAATAGTCTCATGTTCTCACTTGTAATCCTAGTGTTTGAAATTAATTAAAATGAAAAGTACAGCTTTGTACAGACCCCATGAAACACCATACCTTCTCCTCATAGATCTTTTTAACACGAGCCACTGCTTGAGCCAGCTGCTCCTTCTCTCCAGTGAAGACGATCTCAGTCCTGTTGACGCTGGGTGGTGGGATATTTATGCGCGTTCCAGTCTCCTGCATGATTTCACTCACCAGCTTGTTGAAAGGACCAGCAATAAAAGGATGGTATACTTTCTCCAACTCAAGCCTCTCTACTGCACGCTTATCCTGGAAAATAAAATCACATTTTTATACATATATACAACACACACTACAGTACTGCAAGAAAAGAATGTGAGGCTTCTGCGCGTGCTTCCTACTTCTGTAGATCCTCATTCTGAAACTTTATTTCACTTTATCACAAAGTATCTGTTCTAGGAATGACTGGCGGTGGGGGGGGGGAATTGCATGAGCAACCTTGCTAACTTGTTAGAAGTGCTAGGGAGAAATGATCTTTAAGGCAAAAGGAATTGAGAACAAAGAAATAGAATAAAATTGAGGTGACAATGATGGAATAAAGTAATATGATTTCATATAATTTAACATGTAATCAAGTTTAACAATCCATATAAACACCAAATACTTTGTGATTATGTACAGTACCAACGTAGATTGAAATCAGATATAATATTACGGTGCTGGCCTAGAAACCAGAAGTCTGTGAGTTCTTTTCCCACCATAGGCATGAAAGCCAGCTAGCTGACTGTGGGCCAGTCACTCTCTCTCAGCCTAGCCCACCTCACAGGGTTGTTGTGGGGAATAAAGGAGGAGGAAGGAATATTTATGTATGTTCACCGCCTTCAGTCAACTATAAGGTAATAAGAACCATATAAAAATGTAATAAAATAATTAGTCCTCGACTTACAACTGGTCACTTAGCAATGGTTTCAAGTTACAATGGACCTCCCTGGGGGTACTTACGACCTGATTCCAAAATTCCAACAGCTGACCTATCCCCGTGGTCACACGATCACATGCAGGGTGCTCGGCATCCGACCCATATTTATGGCTGCTTGCTGCATCCCACCATCACATGACTGTGATTTGCAATAGTTTTTTCTGAAAACCAGAATTTCCTTCTGGCTTTTGGCTAAACCGGACCATAGCAAACCATTGGTTTGCTTTACAATGAAGACTGCTTTATGACCAAAATGTTCCTAAATCAGGTCGGCCGCAGTATGTGAACAACCGGTTCTCTGTGTGGATGCTACTTCCGGGAGTCCATTCTGGGCCTGGGAAACAAAAAATTAGCTACCGGTTCTGCCGAAGTGGTGCGAACCAGCTGAATCCCACCACTGGTCGGCTGTATGGATGAGCCATTTTATGATTGTGATGGGCAGGCTCCATTATGGCCTTAAGTCACTTCATTAACAACATCGCTTGACACATCATGGAATTTGCATAGATTGAAATTATGAATGTGATCATCATCATGAAAACTTTGTAAATGCATGCATACAAAAATAACTACCTCTCATTAAAAAAATCTAAGGAGGCAAGGGAGAAATGTAACTACTATAAGAAATTGCAGCAGTCATCAATATATGAAGAGGGCAAATGGCCAGATTTTCAGAACGACTTTTTATATTCTTTTGCCTTCTAACAGAAATATTAGATGACAGCTTATTATATACTTTGTATGTAAATCATCTAGATATTTAATCCCCAATAGGCATATCAGAAATAATTCTGATGAATTTTAACAAAATTTGATTTTAGACAGATGATTATAAATTGTCACAAACATTAAAACAGCAATCTTCTTATAACACGCACTATCTTTCTAAAACAGTGAAATTTGGGAAGTACTTTTTAAGCAATTTATGCTCAACATAAGTCTGAATGAACTCCAGCTTGGCCTAAGGAATGTTCCCTTTAAAAAAGGATTATTTGATCTCGTGTTTTCAGAATCACTTCAGCAATTTTAAACCAAAAATATAGTTTACCTGCTCAGCAGAAATCAAAAGAATCTCATGTCGAGCTTTCTCAATCCCTTCCTTGGTGCCAGTGATCTTGATCTGGTTGCTGGGGTCATCCGGGCGGGGGATCTGAATTTTTGTGGCAGTTTTAAGCTCAAGATCCTGTAACTTCTCTCCATTTTTTCCAATGACAAAGCGATGATGTTCTTTGGGAATGCCAACTGTTGCTGAAGCCTATAAAAAAGTGCATGTACTAGAGTGAAACCACACTTTTAATTTAGCAATACAGATGCATTTCACCAACCAATTCAGCATAGAATTTTGCTTTTAACTGTGGTAAGAGAGGAGGGAATCTTTCTTTCAATATTATAGAGTAGCAATGGAAAATAGTATTTGTGAAATTTTACTATAAACAAACATAAGGGATATAGGGTTTGCTCATATGCTGCCCAGAAACAAACTGACACTTCAAGTAACTGGGAGGGAAACTGCATGTTGCATTATTTCCCCCCATTTTAGAATAAATCAAAATCCTGCCCTGTCCTCTCATGTATATATCTAGTTACTGACTTACTCAATTGCATTCATAACCCTATTTCTAGCACAACATTAATCCCTGCTTGCTTGCCTGCCTGCTGCCTATCTGTCTCTATCTATCGTTTGTCTGTCTATAGATCTACTCAGTGATAAATTCCAACATAACTTTTATTGCTTAGTATATGAACAAGACAAATGAAAGTCGCCTCATGGAGGCTGAGGGCCGGGGGAGGGCTGATTTTGGTCTGAGGCCCTCCAGCAGAAGATCCTGCGGCCGGCCTCTGTGGAGATGGTGGGGGCCCGGCGTGGACCTGGAGGTTCGTGTGGTTGGGGCCCGGCTGACTTTGACTTTGCCATTCCCCCCCCCTATGGGGGACAACGAGAACAACAAACTGCTGCTGCTACTTTCTCTTCATCCATCTCAGGCCCCTGACCAAGATAAATCCATCATGAGGACTTTCCCCTCCCCCGTCTCTGCTGTTGGACTTCCTGCTGTGGACAGGAAGGAACTGCTGGCCCTGCGCGATTCCCCCATCGCGCAGGCATGGCCCAATACCATCCCAAGGGCCTGCCTCAATGAAGGGGTGTGGAACCCCGAGAGGTGGTATACAGCAAGTGGGGAACTAAGGAGAAAAAAATTGAGAGTCTTCTTAGAGGGGTGTTTTATCAAATTTTTAGGGGGTTCGGGGTTGGCCCGA